GCTACAGTATTACAACTCACGCAAAACATTTTTGAAAAACAGCAACTAGTCACAGCATGTAACAGCATGCTAAGCACGGGGGAGTATGAATAATAAATAAGCTAACTGTGGCTAAACAATCAGGATAGGTTGATTAGCCTGCTATATACATATAAACTTTTATTATTTAAATGTATGAAGACATGAAGTCATAAAAAAACATTTTATCAAGAACTACTAATATACCAATGTTAGAAACTAACCATTTGGTAACTGCATCTCTCATTTTGTGGAAGTCATTGTTGATAACTATTTAATTTTCACACTGTATTTGTAATATCAACTGTAATAATAATAAACTTTATTTTATATAGCACCTTTAAAGGTGGCTTCTCAAAGTGCTTTACAGAATTACAACAAAATCATTAAAAAATACACAAGATATGCATGATGAGAATACAATATTAGGGTCCCTTTAGGAAAGAAATAAAATTAAAAGATCTCTGTGAAAGAACATACAGTAGGTTATGCTAGGTGTAGTAGCTTTGTCAACTGCTATGTCAGCCACTACCCTCCAGGAACTTCATTTTGAACAGATGAGAGACACTTGCCTAGAGAAACAAGCTGTGTTTCCAGGCAACTGCCTATCATGAGTAGGGGTTGGTAAGTTTGCCATACACAGACACTTTTCCTGCCCCTTGCAGATAAGCAAAAATAATTCCAAGTCAGCCCTTCCTCCCTCCTAAAGGTTGTAAAAGTTTTTAGGAAACCCCTGCCCCAACCCCCCCCCCCCACACACACACACTTTGTTTGAAAGCTGTTGTTGTTTAAAAATGTCCGCTATTTTTGTAAAGGTGCCGACCTTTGACCTTGAGACTGAGGCGTGCAATGGAACGTCAGTGACTCAAGGCCTTGCAGTTTCTACACCTGCAGCCTCAAGGGCATTTATAACAGAGCACTGACAGGTGTGTCGGCGACTGCTGAGAAATAGCATTTGGCTTTTCAAAGTCAACCTTAAAGAAGGGAATGAGGGGGAAAGATAATAGGGCTTTAAGGATCGCTTTCTTTTTTGGAATAATCACTGCGAGAATATGAAATGTCTTAAAAACACACACTGAAGCTGCAGAGCGATGATTGAATTCAGTTCATTTCCTCCAACAGCTCACATTGGGCAGCTTTTATAATTCATTTCACTCCAAGGAAAGCTCTGCTCATTAGGGACTATCAAATTCAATTTAGCTCTGTTTTTCACAGCAGTGTATGTGCCAGCTGATGGAAATTATATTTTTAAAACTTAGGTTATGTTACCAATCAGGAGATTGCAATCAAAACGAGTACTGTAAATGGGCCATAAACCAAACTCTGTAAGCTTTTAGAACTGCCCTTTAGATCCTTGTGTCTTTTTTTCCCATTTCTTAAGGTAGACAAATGGTAGAGAGTTTATTCAAGCATATTGTCTCATTATGTGTCATTACAGCTGGTTTATACCAAAGTCTAGATTTCACACGTTCTTACATGTAAAGCAAAATTACAGACACAGCTATTTTAAAAATACAAAAATTAAATCAAGCCATTTAAAAGATATCAGTATATCACATGGTAAGGAAATTGTAAGATGCCTTAAAGATATATGTCTAGATCTGCTGGTTTGGGAATCTGAATCTGAGGACTAAGAACAAACTGTACAGTATGTTACTGGTGTTGATCTTTCAGCCCTACTCCACGTCTATCAGTCTATTAACATACTGTATGCAAAGCATATTCTATCCTAGACGACCCTCCGCGCCCTTTGAAATAATAAATTCCAATTACCCGTCTCAGAACATAGATACAGGTTTCCCAGTTGAAAAACAACCAGGCTCAAGTTCTCATTTATGACCACGGCTGTAATCTTGCTCAACAGATGATTCTCTTCTTCGGGTTTACGTGCATTTTTGTTTTTGGGTGCTTTTTCTTTATATTATTGGCTGCTGTAAAACAAGTTGTTCCTTGGGGGTGATAAAGAGACTCCCTACTGTATATAGAATATTCACTTGCTTAAAATACCAGCTAACCTGCTGTAGTTTCTATGGACCATTTAAAAGATGCACTACTACACCCGTAGCTGAAAGGGGAAGACTGACAGAAAAAGAACCTTCTCTAATACAGAAACTACTCATTGTGTGTATCACGTACTCAAGCTTTTTTTTAGAGGGAGTGTACTCTAAAAGAGTGACTAATGTGTTTTCAGATGTGACTGTAATATGCCTGCTATTCCTTCTCACCGCCAACTCCCACAACATTTGCGTATTCTTCTTCGTGTCACTGCCTGTTCTGTGTGCTGGCATTTTATTTTTGCATTCATAAAAATGTGACTGAATAAAAAGTTACTTGGCTTTACCTGCAACACTCTGTTAGTCTACTTAAAGATTTCTGGGTGAACTTAAGCAGTTGTTAAAATACAATTTATAATTTATTTTTAATATGTACAGTAATCTTAGTGTTTGTCAACCATTTCTAGGTCACTTTTGCTTGCTTTTCATTTTATTTCTGGGAGAGAGCTGAATGTCAGTTAAGTTCCAAGTTTCCAGCTTAGAGAAATATGCTCATGCTAACCATTTCACTTTAAACTGTTCAGAGTGTCTTTCCTTTTGGGAAAGTTGACACATTTACAGCCATGAAGGTAGAATTGTCTGAGAATTGCATGTCTGATAGCTCTTATCAACAGCACCTGAGCACACACATAACTTGACACGAGAAATAGGTCAGCAATAACTAAAGACTGAACATCTGTCAACTGAGCTTCTCAGTGTGCCACCTGCTTCATAATTAGAAATGTTCTGGTGCGTAGTCCACACCTACTAGCAGCTGGCTTCCTTGACACATCACAGCTGGGCTTTACACTACCTCTAACCCAGCATCAACATATCTCTACTCTTGCTTTTTTTATGAACATAAAGGTCACGAGATTTTGATTTTCATGAGACTGATGTGAATGTAGGAAACCCACTGAATTTACAGTGTGTATCTTTTCAACTGCCTTAGGTTTGCGGTGTAGAGTATTATAAATTTAAAAAACGTAATAGACGTGCAAAGCTGTCACTAAGAAGCATTTCAGGATCTAGGAAATTGAACGTTTTATGCGACTATATGGCAACAGTTTATTATGAGGGCAGGGAAATGATTAATTCATGCTGTATAAAGGAAACAATACACTGTAAATGAATGTGGGTGTCATGAATACAGGATGACTTCATACTCCTTCAGTATGAACTCAACAGGAAATCCTGTTCTGCTTCCTATATAATTAGATTGGATGTAAGGATATATTATGAAGGGTAACACAAATAATCCTAGGGATCACAGTCAGTTTCCAGTATTCAAACCTCTGTTTTCATCTAACATCTATAATTTACTGGAGTTGCAATTTCTCTGTTTTTATTCACAAAGTTCATCATAACTATCATTCACAGGATTTCATATGTTCAGTGTGATTCAGGGCAATCTAACATTTAAGTTAGATATTAATCTAATTTGAATGTATTTTTTATTTATACTCTAAACACCTTATTATGCAAACTTGCAAACTGATTTTATTTTATAACGCGAGATTTGTCTATGCTTAATGTAGCAGTCCCAATTTCTCAGACTGGTTATAACATTTCAGAACAAAATAATTCATTGATGGAAGTTTACAAATTCCAAATTAAGCACAAAATCATGAACTTCAATAAAGTACTGTATATTCACCATCTTGTTGCAAACCCCTAGTCTCACCATGGGCAATAGAGGGATTTTGCACGAATTGTGACATGAAGCGGCCTTTCCTGCTCGCTAGTCTCTTTAAAGACTAATGTTATGCCATGTACGAGCAAGTAAGTACAGGTTGTGAGGTACACCTTTTACCGCAGAAATGTTCCAACGTGATCTTAACAAGTAAGTTGTATTTGTCAGCAAAAAAACCATCTCGAAGTTGAGAGCAATGTTTCTATTAGATTGAAAGAGATGTACAGTATTCTCAAGCCTACTTTCTTACAATGTAATAGACTCATCAGAACACTTGTTGCCTCATTTTGAATCACAAAACGTGGCACTGAACATGGAAATTGAGTCTATTTTGTGGTGTAACTTGGAGGTTTTACATGCTACTGTATACTACATTACATTTACTTTCTTTGTAGTTTGACATGTACTCATCAAATGGAGATACTTTCCCAACCCAGATTATATAGTGTTGCAGTTCCCCTCAAAAGCAATGTAACAGAATCAGAAATCTTAAATGTGTGAAATCTATATACATTTCAGGAAACACTGACATATGCTGCTTTAAACAAGAAGAATGTTTTTGTATAGGATGCCACAACCAGTCCATATTATTACAAAAAAATGTTACACAACATTCCACACACCAAGTAGGAGTCTCTTGGTGACATTTGGTGACTGTAGCATTCCTTCTTGGCTTGGTTAGTGTTTTATTTTTGTAGGAAGGGCAACTAAATCCTATCATTTTTTGCATTGTTCCATTCGTGATTCTAGTCTAATTATTGATGTCAAAAGACATTCGTGTAAGTAAATGACCCAACCCAAATGGTGAGAAACTGGATTGCTGGCTTTGAACGTCAGGCTGTCTTGGATTCTGAACGTTCACTGGAACCTCCCTAAAGGCCAGTATTTGCTGGGGTAGAGAGCAATACTAGACCAAACTCCAGGAGGGCGTCAGCATCACTTTTAAATGTTGACAAGATGAGGAGATTTCTGTTGATTTTGGCTTCCAAGTCAACTCTCTATTGTTAATGGTTCAAAACAAAACAAGTGGAAAACCTGCTCTCCTGTTGCACAGCTGACAGCAATACAGTCAAGAAAAGAGATTGTAAGATATGCCGCATATTACTGTATGGGCTGGAGAGAGGTATTTTGTTTTGCATCTTCAAATAGGCTGCGTTCAACTACAATGCATACTGCGCATTAGATAACATCAAAACACTAGCTTATCAGGCACAAATCGGGAAAAACAAAAGTGAAGAAAAGGGCTGTTTGACTACCTTATCCTCCAAACGAATCAGTCTGGCTCCAACCGTGTAATATCCTTTGTCCAGGCCCTTTTCTAAAAGAAAAGAAAGAATACATTGCTTAGTTTATCACATTCCAATGCTTTCAATTTCAGTTTTAATACTTTCAATTGTAAATGAATTATTATTAGTAGTAGTTGCAGGAGTAGTAGTAATCTCTAGGAAGCAAATGGTAAATGGCAAATTATAGCATACTCAACAAACCCATGCAAAGACAGTAAAAGATGAATCTGTGTTGGATTCTATTGTATGTATTCTCTAGTTGCTTGGCAGTAGGCAGTACATAAAAATATAATCTTTAACACTCATGTCTATGGCATTAAGTCTGTGGTATTAAGTAAGTGCAGGTAAGGGGTCATTTTGCCATGAGAATTTGCATAAGCATTACCAGGCACAGTAAGTGCATTGCACCATCTGATTATTTCAAATCCAGTGCATTCTCATACTGTATCTATTTTATAAAGCAAAATTGATAAAATATTGTTCACAAATAGTGTTTATTAATGATTTTACTTTGTGTGTGATTTTAGGGAGGTGACTGGAAAATTGCAATGGAACATTCAACTCAACCAGTGTGTTTTCCATCTTCATCCCAGTCTCTACAATAACACACAGGACACGTGTTTAACATTGGTGTTGTTTCTCAAAGACAATGCCAGGAGGCGAAATGTAAGGAAGCACCCAGCAGTGAGATGCTTCAACAGGCTTTCTCTGGATTCTTTGTAACTGACTTTATATAGCTAGACCCCTTAGAATCCCACTGCTAATTGCTGCTCTGCATGGGTAAGAGGCTGTGATGAATTGTGCCTTTCAACATGGATTAAAACCCATTACTTTCACTTGTGTCAGCCAGACCGAGAATAATGATTCTGATTTTCGTCTACTGGGTTTATACACAGAAATGCCGTTGATGTGCTTACCAGATCCCTGGCTGTCTTTATTAATACCTGTATGGCCTTAGGCAGACAAAGCTATGACAGATACAGTATGTAACGTTTTTCTTTTTACATCTACTATGAAAATTAAAAATTGGCTGCATATTGCATATACAGTATGTTTCAATAAGAATGTTAAGTCAGAGATTGAAAGTGTTAAATATTTAATCAGGGATGATTGAACTTGCTGACTTTTTTCACAGTCTTACTTTAACATGCACAGTATAGCATGGAGGGTGTGATGAGATATAATTTGAGTCACAAGTGCTATAGTTTGAGGGGTAATTTATGCCTTTTTGACAGCAGTACATGGTCTCCACATTTATATATAAATTAGATTTATTTGGCTAATGAATATATCAAAAACATCTAAGATTTGCACCCATTCATAAAGTTGGATATTTTACAAAAGCAATTTTGGGAGAATTACCTTGCTCAAGAGTACAGTAGCAGTATCACACCTGTGATTTGAACCCATGTCCTTTCAATTACCTAACTACTACTCCAGACTGTTACCCTGCTAGTTTCTAACTATTCAGTGTTGTGCTGATCACATTTTGAAGTTTGCAGTCTACTTGTAGTAAAATCAGCTTCAATACAATTCCATAGTCTTTCCACATGACACTGCTCACACCCACATGGCATCAGTCAGAGTCAGTCTGTGAGCATCTATCTGGGAACACCTTTAATGCTCTCGCCTTCTGTACTGCCAGATCTGAACTGACCAACAAATTGTAGAATTCATGTCATTTCATTCAATCTAATTTGTGTTCCTAAAGTATTTTGATTTAATCATCTGCTTTGCAATCATTTGCAGATATAATATTCCTCCCATCTGCAATTTGTATAGAATAAGTAACTATTAGATGCTGTCATACTAAAATTATCTTAGATTTTTTAAAATATTATAACACTAATCATTAACCATATCCACTTACTTCTAACTCTAATTCTTCTGCTGTGAGTATCATTTACATACCATAAAAGCCATGTGCTCTCGATAGCATTTGGCTTAGAGCCAGTGGCATTGCAGAGTATCTAATGTTTCTGGGCAATGAGTTCCACAATTTTGGAGCTGTAACAAAAGATGTTTCCATGTCCCATTGTGTAAAGGCTGGTCTTAGGCAGGTTAAGAAGACCTGAATCAGCAGATCTCAGATTATAGTAGAGTAGAGGAGTTTATTGCCATACTGTATGTACATGTACATTGGAATTCTTATTTGCTCTGATCTCTCGGGACATACACAGTACAGCAGATGACAGAACACAATAGACAGCACCACACAATGCAGACAATACATTACAAACATAATAAATGATAATAACAGAACAATAAATATGCTGTGCAGAGCAATAAATATGTAGTATTAAAAAAAATATATGGTAGTCCATGCAAAAAGTGTATTGTGCAGATGTGCATTGAGTCTGAGGCATAGGAGTTAGCTTTTAAGGATGCATACTGCAATTGGGTAGAAAAATGTAAGATTAAGTGTTGGAGTATACTAATGCAGTAAGTCCTAAAGGTACCTCGAACTAGATCTTTCAGCCTCTTACAAATGAACAGGAGAATCTTAAAATCCAGTCCAAATTTATCTGAAATCTGGTACAATTTACACAGGACAGGTATCTTATTGCTGCTGAGACAGTGTACGGTATTTTTATTTAGTACTGTATATGAGCCTTGGGGTTATAGATGAACTGAAGCTTATTTCATTTTTTTGGAAATAACAGATATCAGCTTAATGTTGATGAAATAAAGCCATGTATTAATTTTTCAGCATCAAAAACTCAGAATGAGATAATTACCCTGATTTTCAACATCCGTTAAGGGTATAATTTATTTATGAACCATCAACAGCAACAGTTCAACAATTCCTAGCATGGCATGGCTGATTGCTTTCAGGATGTCATAAAATGCACGGGTTAAAAAGGACAAAGCAAACCATTCCAGCGTCACAAACTTTTTGGAGAATCCATGATGAGCCGTCATAAGTGCCATTGTGGTTGATTAACTGTATTCATAAAGGGTATTGTACCTGATCAAAAATTGTTTAAGCTGTTTAAAGCTTTCAAGGGTCTTTGTCAGTGAAGACAGCCATTCAAGTCGAGTCCTGCAGTCCAGACTACTAAGACTCACGTTGAGGCCATAACCCCATCTGAGTGTGAATCCACAAGAACGACCAGAGTTGTGGGATCTATGTTCACCCAGAGAGGGTTTCCTCAACCTGACAATGGCTTTGACTTGATCCCAGTGCCTACAGTGTAAACGCTGTGAGCAGCGTCTGTCTCCATTCTGCATGGAAGCAGAAGCACGAGGGTTCAAAGAGAAGGAGGGACAGAAAAGGCATCCAAGTGCTACAATCGGGGTTGTAGGAGTGAGTTGAGTTGAGTGATAACTGACATTTTCGATCTGGGAGTTAGAAAAAAAGGTTTCACGATTGCAGCTTAAGATGAAGCTTCCTAGCTGCAAGTTGGAATTCAGTGGATTCTTTTTTGCAAGGACTCAGATTTCTTATGTAGAATTACATGAAAAAAGGGTGGGTGAGGGTGGTGGGTTACGCCAAAGATAATAGGTCAGTTTTAAGCGCAACATAAAATTGGACCCACCAGGAAAACCTTTTGAAGTAAAGTTATGGTAAGACAGCTCATGCTTATATTAAATTTGTCCTATTTTTGTGTAAGTAAAACAATAATTAAACTAAACAACTAAACCCATCCATTCATCCATTTTCTAACTGCTTCTTCCAATTCAAGGTTATAGGGGAGCTGGAGTCTCTCCTGTGAAGCAACAGGCACAAGGTGGGTTACACCCTGAGTGGGATGCCAGTCCATCATTGGGCAAACACAGACACCCACACACTCACACCAGGGACAGTTTTCCCAAAAGCCAATTATCCAAGCTTGTTTTTGGACTGTTGTGAGGAAAGTGGTGCACTCCGAGGAAACTTACACAAACATGGGGAGAACATACAAACCATCCAGAATTGAACCCAGGCCCCCAGTGCTGTAAGACAGCAATGCTAATCACTGGGCCACCATGTTGCACTCAACGAAATCATTAATATAATTTCGATTGTGTGTGCTCCTGACACATAATAATAATAATAATAATAATAATAATAATAATAATAATAATAATAAGTTCTTACACTTATATAGCGCTTTTCTGGACACTCCACTCAAAGCGCTTTACAGGTAATTTGGACTCCCCTCCACCACCACCAATGTGCAGCATCCACATCACATTCAATTTACACACCCTGAGTCTTACTTCAAGTCATAATGGGTAGCAAAATATAATCATCAGTACAGCTTAGTGGGAACACAAAACCTATTTAATAATTGCTTCAAGAGGAAAGCTAATTCAATTAAACCATTTGCCAATTCTGGGCATAAAGTAGTAAGAAAGTGGTCCTTGATTTAAAAACTTGGGTGTGTGAATATACTGGAAATATCAAAGCTTATTTCACAAAAACTTACAGTACAAGGAAAATATTAGCTCCCTTGAAATTAACACAATGGGGGCTTCAATAGCCCTATATAATATGCTTCTTGGAAATACCTTTTGTTTCACATTCCCATTTCAGAGGATGAGTTTAACGAGAAGCACAAGACTGACCAGCACTAAAAAATAACATAAGAAACTTTTACAAACGAGAGGAAGCCTTTTTGCCTGTCTAACCCGAAACAATAAATCATGTATAGTCAGTGTAAAGCTAATAAAAGCATTCACAGGTCAGGATGCTGATTCATTCCCCCCTAGGTTACTTTACCTGACAGAAACATTCCTGGTTTTCCCAAGGAGTGGTCCAATCTGGGGCAAATGGAAGAAATGAGAAGTGTTATTTTATACAACCGAGATGGTGTGCTTAAACACAAATATACAGATTTTAATGAGAGCTCTACTACTAGGTCAGGTCAGATGGCATTAAAGATTGAAAAAAATAAATTCCACAGTATAATGATTTGGAGGTTAAAGTGCAAATGTCATTAATACTGGGTAAAATATTTTCAGACCATTAATAGAATGAAAATAACTAATAATGAGAAATTGACATATACTAATG